TTCCCAAAAACATGGTTTTAACCCCCAACTTCGAGGGCTATTTTCACCCCTTCAATGTGAACGATTGCCGATAAAAAAAAATACGTGTCAAATATTTTTTTGAGAACTATCTTTCACATAAGTTTCATTAAAATCGGTGTGTCGCGGTTCGATATGTTTCCTTGTAAGGCTAGAACCCACACCGATTCACGAGACGCGCCAAACACTTCCAGGAAGGACTGTTATAATTCCGCCATTTTTAAATATATTTAAAAACAAAAAATATTGTGTAATAGGCAATAGTTATAATAAATTATACCTGAAATTTCAAAAACGCAAAACAAAGATATCCTATACAAAAAAATTCACAAAAATCAGCCTATTTTCATCGGTCTAAAGGTATTTCCCCTCTTAAAGACGATATCACATAACGTCGAAGAAAACTACTTTACGTAGCTACATATAAACATCTTGTGAGCAGATAGTTTTCATCATCTATCCTTTCATCGAATCTTAATTCATCTTCTATCAAGTCGCCATTGTAAAGTGTCGTATCAAAGTCCATTCTCTTCTATATCCGTTCGCAGTTCTCTATCAGCTAATATGTATATTTCATACATATATATTATCAACTAATATATCAAAGAAGAAAACTGAAAACTAACTTCTTTAAGTTTTCAGTCTTAATGCTGCCTTTGTATATACAATTGTATATGTACCCATACATTCACGCACGTGCACGCAACATAAATACATAGATATACATATATATCGTATATACGTACGTGTACATATTCTTTACGTGTGTCTGTTATGTGTGTATATATGTACATATATATGGAGGTTAACAATTATAACGGACTAAACCCATTTTAAAGAACTGTAGGAGATTGAAAAATATTAAACGATACAAGCAACGGCTTAACACTTTGGTGATCACTCGATCAAATTACCCTGAATGTCTTACTTCTTCATCAATTCATATGATTAAAATGACATGTTCTAGCGTGAACTATTTTGTACAACGCTTTAAGTATCTTCCGTAATCAGAACTGTTTAACGTAAAATGGGAAAACAGCTTGAAAAAAATGAACATTTTTGAAATTAGTACGATTAAGATCATAATTCCACTACCGCCTACAAGAAATTAAATAAAATATGTACAGTTAATCTGTATGGCACTAACTGGAAATTAATTTTAATAAATACGATATCTGTAATCTAAATGTAACAAAAAGAAAATAAAGAGAAAACATAAAATTGATTCATTTTGACTGTAAAATTATATAGCGTACACATGTATTATATACATTTATAATCTAATTACTAGTACTTTCACTAATCATATTGGTTCGTATTTATAAATCACATTCGCTGTCTTATCATGTTACAAACAAGGATATCGATCAGAGTTTAATATACTAAGTGACTATGAACAGGCGACTAAAATGGACAATTGTCGATAGTCTGTTTAAACTTACGAAGTCAAATTTTCCGATATATATCTTTGCTTGTACCATTATTCAAATATTAAATCTTGTACTGCGAATCGATTCCGAAAAGTTTGATCGAAAACATGAAAACAAACGCAAATCACAATCATAATGATAAAGAGTACTACTAATAATAATAATTAAACGACATACGATTTGTGTTAACACGTTAAACGTCCAATATATGATGAAAACCCGTAGGTCATTGTGGTAGCATATAAGTCTCTGATAATCTGTTAAATTGCTTAAAAGCTCTTGTATGTAGTTTTATATATTATCTCTGTTAGAAACTCTTAAAACTTATCTTAAAGTTTTACTAATTAGCTTAATAAAACTGTTACCATATTTGGGAAATGTGGCCCCTGTGGTGACTTACACCCATTATATAAACAATATGGCATTTAACGTGTTAAACACTATATAACATTTTCGTAACTGCTTATTAGGTTTTAAATGACTTCTGCACAAATAAATCTTGAATAAATAATAATAACATTTATAGAATAATTAACTTCACCTAGAGTTACAAAAGAAACTTCACAGTGAAATTAAAATTCGCTCGATTCTGCAGACGTTGCCTATTACATATAATGATTGATAAAAAGATTTAATCATATAATCAATATAGGATGCACGCAGGATGTTTTTAGAGGTTTGAGATATGTACACGTCTGTGTTATAATAATGACTGTTGTTAGATAACACCTGCACATATAAATTGAAACCAGAAATTAAAACGAAAACGTTTCTTTGAGTGCATACCTGTATATTAGTTGTATGATCAATAACAAATTCGAAATTATATAATAATATCCCTATTATACATAAAAAACAAAAAACAATACGCTTCGAGACATCTGCACCTTTTCAATGTAACTCTTTTATCTTACAAAAAAACAATAAAAAAATGTTTATAACTTACGACAAATTATTCGACTGAAAGAATAATTCATTGAAAAATTAAATTAGAAATTTTTCTATATAATAATAAATCAATCATGTATCTCAATTAGAGTTCGTTTGTGAACATAACGCAATAACATGGGATTTGGGATTAACGTAAAAACACACCGATTTTTATACATGCAGTTTATAAAACATGTAAGTGCTTGCTTGAATTATTTGAAAATAATACATTTTCCAGAACCTGAAATTCTTTAGAACTTATTTCACTACAATTATTTGCTGTAAATCAAACATGACAAGTACTTTTTGTACAATTAAAATGCGAAACAAAAACTAACCATTATTTAGAAATCTACATAGAAACAACTTTCCAATAGTTTAAAACATTTCTTAACAATAAATTTATTCATACTATGTATTAAGTAAGTACGATTACGGCAATTATGCCAAGAAATATAGCACCATTCTGCGTATTACTTTGGATATCAAGGAATACTTAATAACATTAATATACATTGTACAATTAATTAATAATTTACAATACGATTTTTGGAATTTTTTCATGGAGTAACCATGTGTGCAACCATTTTCAATTAATTTATTTAAATACCATATGTAGTTCCGCTCGTTAATATGTGATATCTAACATTTCAGTCCATTTACCATTAAACTGTAGATACAATCATATATTTAAGGTACTATAAGAAAAATTTCTACTTTAAAACAAATAGTTTGGAAAAGTGATTGTAACTTCTTCATTTTTATTAACTTGTGCAAAATTAAGAAAATAAATAATATAGTATTTTAAATGTATGTACTGAACAAAGATCTTTTGCTTGCTCAACAACATGCGAATGAAGAATATTGTCATAACATTATTTTCTATGATAATTTTTTTTTAACATATGAGAAAAATTAAATAACTGAAATTAGCTGTAACTCTGTTTGGACTAGTCAAACAATAAAAATGAAAATGAAGAAAAGAATAATTATGTTGTGCCCGTGTAATACAAAGCGAGTTTTTTGCAGCTCTTCAAACTGAAACACGCGACCATTAAATTTTTTTTGTTTAATTGCAAAGATTGAATTTTAAGAACAAAATTATAACGTGTAAATCAACGTATAAATAAACTACCCCTGAGTTCTTATTTAATCGTTCCTGAACCTACGTCCTCCCATGATAAACGGTTATACCTCTCGGGACACAACAATTGAATTAATAGTTTAAAAATAGAAATACATTTTAATTACATCAAGAATTTCAAAATAATAATTATAAAAGTTAAATGTTTAAATATATTTAGATTAATTATTTCTTTAATTATTTAATTCTTTTACTTCCTTAATTTCAAAAACAAAATAAAACATTTATTTAAAGCATCACATAAATAATTGTAAAAATAAACTTATCAACAATTAAAATTTCATTCTATGAATTATGTTACATTAAAAATCTACTGCTTGGCAAGTATCTGACTTACATAATACAAGATAATTTATCAGTTTTCATAAGAACTAATTCTATCTGTAAGTTATCATTTTAAGTTAAAAAGTAAAATATTAAAATATTTAAATAGTTCTTTTGCCAATATAATTATTATGAGAGCAATACAATTTCTTTTCCAAAACACGAAGCTTTATCTAATTTCTATGACCAACATTAAGTTTGTTAAAAAGTTTTGAAAAAATTCTTATTAGTTTTATATTACGATTATATTTTTTTTACTATTTTACTTAAAACTTATAGAGTCAGTATAATCTTCAATAATCATATCTGCTGATTTTAACGACTTTTTCATTGCCTGACTTGTTAAATTTAATTTACACTATACTTTTGTATAGATACAATTAGAAAAGAATGATTCATTATAATAAATACTATATATGTATGCATGTAGTTTTATAATCACATTCAAAAACCAAACTGAAATAAAAAACTTGATTAAGTACTACAACTGACATATTTAAACATATTTGAAACATTTTAAAAGTATCCTTTATAATTTGTGATATTTTTATATCAATATAACACATAATTTACCAATGGCTACTATTTGTACAAATATTCTAAGTACTATTATAAACATTATAGAAAATGAAGTTAGTTACAAATTTACAAATTGTTGAATAACATTACCATGGTAAGTACAAGAGTTTAAGTTGGATATAAAGAAAATGTTGATATTTTTTCGTACAGTCCTTACCTATAAAAATGTTTGTTACTAATATTGATATATTTTACCTTATTATAAAATAACAATCTTTTTTATAATTTCATTATATTTGTTCAGTTTCAAGTCCATTTCTTTGTTGTTCATATGTTTATACCTTTTTTATTATTAAAAAGTTTTTTTATTAATACCAAAATGCCTAAAGGTTTAGGCACTGTACTCTTCATAATTATTCAAAAATTTTGACTTTGCAAAGAAAATTTTGTATCTATCTAAAACAAAACATCGCAAAAGAAGGTCAAGATTCGTATATCAATCTTTGATAATGAGGAAATATTTCCCATGTTGGAAGGTGCAAACCAAACTCTAATGCCACCAAAACAGCAAATTCAGATGTAATCAAATCCTTGCGATTTAACCTAAACACACTTTCAATTCTCTGGAATTTATTTAAAAATTATTTAACCCATAACCCTTGCGCATGTAATATTTAAAAATATAGATGACTTTTATATAAAATAAATACCTCTATCAGTGATTTCAAAACATCACCCTTGACATCATTTAATTTTGCTGCAAGAAGTAAGCATGCACCAGCACATAATTTTCGAGTCTGTTTGGTAACAACATTTCGAAGAATAAGTTTCTCAAAATATACATAAGCCATTGCTACTGTCAGGAGATCAATCCCATATTCCATTTTTGCTATTTTCCTCATCTCTCGTTTTAAACTACATGTAACGCGGTAACATTACTATATTTTTCGTTCAGGATATTACATGCCCATAAATATTATCATACATATTAATACTAACCTTCTTAATTTGCTTAAAGTGAGTTGAATGTGCGGAAACTTTTCTTTAAATTTATCGTTCAATTCCTTTTTTAAATCGGATGGTCGAACATAATCGATAACTGATGCCTGTATGCAAAAATAAAAACTGAAGATCCATTCATTAAATTATTATTATTGTACTATTCCATAAACGTAGAAAAATAAATACCATATATGATGTAAATGTAAGCAATGTTCTATGCTTCCCAGCTATAAGTTCTGGGTCATCTAATAAATTGGGATTATATTGCAGCGACTGTTCATCCCAGTCATACACTATAAGGAAGATAAAATTGATTAACATTATAGTTTTATTAGCTCCTTCCATCGCTAATTCAAAATATTTTTAATAATTGATTGGTACATAAATATACCTTTAGAATCTGCATTAAAGGACAATGGTGGAGATTCAGGTGTTAAATGCTGAGCGCGGTGTGTGGCTGTATCATAAGATAAACACCTACAAAAAAATTATAATGAATAACAGAGAATCACTTTGAGATTACATGAACAAATATATTTACTTTATCATTAATTCTTTAATATTATATGAATTCTAACAGTAAACGAGAGAAATTACATTATATGAGTTATATAGTATATATGAATGCCCATCAATGGAAATGCAAATGAGAATATGCATGTATATGAATGGGAGTAATATTTAAACATATCGTACTTATATCATTTCTATACTAATTTTTACACTAAAATATTCGTACTTTAATAAAAATACTGTATTTACTTCAATAATAATGTCATTTCTAAATAATCTACTTAAAAAATGAAATAATACGAACTAGTTGTGGATTATTGGTATTTAAATTTATTTTCAAAATAGCAATTGTGTATATTTCAAATTGACTTTGTAGTCAATGGAAAAATTTATATACTAGATATTTCAAAAAGATCATACAACTTGAAAATTGCATTTCTGTAAATTAAAATAAATTTAAAAAAGCTTTCCATTTTACAATCTACAATTTCGTTTCCGAGATACGTGGTTAAACATAGATAAAACCACAAACTACAAATTAATAAACTTACAGAGATGAATTTATTGATTTGATTTGATTCAGAAAATCTAGTTTTCAAATTATACAACCTTCTTCAAAAATCTTGTATAATTTTTCTAATGCATAATATTTATTTTTAATAAATTTAAAAATAACACAATTAGTTCAATTTTTACTACATACAGATATTGAAAATTCTTTCCTACTGCCAAATTATTATACTTTTTACCATTTTGAGTGATCCACATTCCATGTAATAGTTTTTGTCCTGCAAAAATATGTTTAAAAGATGTTGTTATAAATCAAAAAAAAATTTCGTGCATTTCGATTGAGATATATTAATGAAATGATTAAGAAATGAATGAAAATGTTAAACAGGAAATGTATAATATTGAATTTGTGAAAAGTTATGCAGTAAAATGTTAAAAAATTTATCTACTTACATAGCTGAAATAAAACATTATTAATAATAAAAATATGTTAACATTATAGTAAATACCTTGAAACTACAGGATGCTTGTTAGATACAAGTTCTATTGCCTCGTTTTCACTAAAATGTAATTTTTTATCTTTCTGAAATTGCCTAGATGGAACAAGCAGTTGTCCATAAGATATTTCCTAAAAAAAAGTTCTCTGAATGTACTTACGAAACCAGAGTCGGAATTCATTTTATATTTTTTAATATATATATATATATATATAATATTGTATTTAATATATATATATGTACCTGGCCATCTTTTGCTCTTTCTATGCCCAATAACCCAAAGGGATCAATATTATCATTAATTGCTGATAGCGGCCGTTGTGCAGAAATATTTTTTCTTCTACTCGTATCTTTGCGTAATTCAGACCTGCAAATTAAAAGCATTCTATAATAAGAAATATTTATAATTTTGTAAATATTCCTGCTACCTAATTTGTATAATTTAGTTTACTAAATGTTATCTTACCAACTAGATCTTTGTCCTTTATTATATGGAAGAGCAGAAAACACTAAAAATGGCACATGTTTATTAGAAACCAAAACTAGCCTATCGTCTCCAAATTTGTATCCATTTACAGGACGTTGCATTAATCGCAATTCTTTTGTAACTTCTGGTATAATGCCGCTATTTGTTCCAGATTGTGTACTGGTTGATGCCTTTGTTTTTGACTTTGTTGATTGTGATTTAGAACGTAAAGAACCAATGCTCTCATTGGAACTATTGTACTGATGTTTTATATCCTCAGAAAGTGTAGATGTTTGATGAGTTATACGCTTTTTGTATTGCAAAGAACCTACTCTCCTCTCAGGTAAAGAATATTCACTGCCAGTTGTGCCAGTACTGAGAAATAAAAGCATATATATTCTTTTTATTACATAATTATAAATACAAAGGAGATTATAATACTATTATCAATTACTATTAACTGGTAAGTTAATGATAATTTTTCCACTTATAAACTTAAAGAAAAAAATAAAAGAGTAATATGTATATATAATTACAATTAGCAAGAAATAATAAAAAATAAAACATGTTCAAAACACTTTTACTTTCTATAATATACATTATCTATATTTATTCATATGTAATGTATTTAATATGTTACACAACAATCTTACGTTTAAACATAATTTATAAAATATGTTATTTGAAAATAACATGTACATTTTATTAATATTTATATTTATTAATATTAATATTTAATATAATATTAAAATGTAGAAATTTGGTATATAATGAACATAAATTTGCAATTGTATTAAAAGATTAATTTATAATATTAATATTCAATATCACATAAGTAACAAAATACCAATACTCATAAAAGTGAGTCAAATATAATTGATACATATTTTAAATACAATATTATATAACTATAACATGTATTAATATGTTAATCAATAACTAATACTGTATAAATATATCTAGTGCAATTATTATCAAACTGTAATGTTACATAAATAGCACATACATGTATACAATTATAATACAAACAATGAATCTTACTGTATTTGCCTAACAAAACTGATAAATTCCATATTGAATTTACATAAAGTAATTTAGTTTTCAATTTTTTAGTACCTATAATTTTCCTAGGTATTGTCTACAAATCCTTTCAAAAATATGTACTTTTTAATACATTTGTGAGAATTATTTTTTTCTTTTTATTATTGAAATAATTTACCTTTTTTATGTTATGTTATAAAATGTATTATTTTGTTCTTCAAAGAAATAACAGCAATTTATTTTTTAGAAGACAGCAATTATATAGAGTATTGCAACAATGTTGTATATATATGAAAAATTGACATTGTTGTTCTAGATATTTGTAGAAAACATTATAGAACCAATATTTCTTATATATTCTTTAGAGAGATTAATCTCTCTATATATAAGATTAATTTATATATTCTTCATAAATAATTTTTAACTCTTTTCAATGGAAAATCCAAGATGTTCCTGATGAAGCAATTCTCTACTGTTTTACTTGTGTGCTAAGCTATACCTAGCAGTAGCTCATTATCTTATCTTATTTTATACACATTCTATATACAATGAAACGTAAACATAAAATGAACCTTAGATTGTTATTTGAAACAATGAATTTATCATGTTGTTCTCTTACAAGAAATAACAAACGATAGAAAGATTTTACAAAATTAAATTGTTTTATTTAATTTTGTTCAGTCAAGTTCTATTATTATTAATTGGTTCCACCCTTTTTAGCATTATTATGTATTTTAACCAAATATACTTTACAATGGCTACATGAAAACAAAAATTATACTTAGAAACCATCATTACATACCAACAAATATTTGGAGAAAAATCATGTTTAGGAAAATTATAAAACATTGGATTCTAAAAATGTAGAAAATGATACATTTTTTAACTATGACAAATATATTTAAATAATATTTACGGGCTTTCTAGATAATAATTGATTAAATATATATTAGTTGTTGAACTGGTAAAAATAATTTCAACCTATAAAAGACCTATACCCTGGACTATAAAAACTCAAAACTTAATTATAGTTATAATTCAATTATAAAACGTAACAAAATTATTAACAAAACTTTTCAACATAAATAACTGAGAATCTGATGCATGTAAACATATCTAAATTATAAAAAGTATATGAAATTAAGTGCTAAACTCTTTAACAATGACTTAACAAAATAAAATGAAGTGTACTGAATTCGCAAACTATCATTTACCGTTCTCTAAATGAACTATGAAAGCCAGTGGACAGCGGTGGATAATTTCTTTCTTGTTCAAGAAAAACAGCTGCTGCTGCCTTCGCAGGAGTTAATATCCCATCAGAATTTGAACTAAATGAATTATGTTCTCCACTTTTTGATACTAGCTGTGGAGAACTGATCTGTTTTACAGATGAGTGTATTAACTGCTCTTCTGTGCAATCATCAAGGACTTCTTCACTGGAAATATTCAAGTCCGTTTGACGTACATTAACTTGATGAGTTTGACTGTCGCTGAGAGTACGAGTATGAGCAGCACCATTCCGTGAAAGAACGGCTAACTTGGTATCACGGTGGCTGCCATCGAGGGAGATGTTCGAAAGAAATGTTAGGGCGGCCAACCTTCTACGTGAATGATTCTTTTTTAAGGCTGCTGCCATTCCACGGTTGACCGTGTTGATAGAGTGATATTGAGTACCAATGTAAACAACCAGAAAAGAAATGAACGCCCAACAATTCTGTTCTCAAACGAGGACGACTACTAGGATCACAATTCATTGTCACTAATCGTATTCTTAGTCCTGACATTTCGTACTAAAGTTCCCGCACAACGCACGTAACAACATATACCGGTGTCACTCGTCATCGTACTGTTTCCTTTCATAAGATTAAAAAACAAATCCTACTACCAATGAAACAACCTTCCTTCCTACTACTTACATTCCTACTACGCAACACTACGACCCATCCTTCTTTTAGTTAACTAATATCTTCTATCTCCTTCTGCGACTGCGCGTACTCTTACGTATAGTAACAGAAACGCATAGCATTTTCTAGAAATATTATTTTTCTTTAAATTTTATTGTACCATTTTCGCATAAAAGTTTTATTTTCATGAATTGTATTAACTTTTTAATACATTTTACATTTTGCAATTACATGTGTCGATTAAGAACATACTTTTAAAAAGACAACAATGTTTAAAATTAGACGTAACGCTTAAAAGAGTAACAAGAAACAATAAAAGAAATATAATCATTATTACAAATTTTCGAAGTTATCAACCTTCAATACATATTTTCTGTATTTTATTCTGAATTGTAATCATTTAGCAATTACAATATGTTAATACCACGGATAAGATATTTTATAGAACAGTCACTCGATGCGCTTTTTGCTATACATATCGAGAGCTCTGTTTAACAAGAGAATTTACTAATTACATAAGTTTTCATTTGCTCTGCACATCTTAATCATGATCATGATCGTGATTGTGATAAAACTTCATTTAGATTGGGAAGATGGCGTTTTAGCAACGGTTCAGTTTAACTGGAATGGTTTGTGCTCCACTGACACTCTAGCGAAAATTCGAGTCATCAAAACAATGACTGAGGCTTTGTTTTTGAATTATTAACAAAAAACATTGACTAATCAGAGCGTGAGAATAGAACGCACCCAGACGCGGGAGCGACAGCTTCAGCCTAATGGCTGAGCGTGATTGTGAACAAGCACGTTTGCATCGTGAGAGTGTAATTTTTTTTTTTAGATAGTGGTTTAAAGTCGCATCAACTACCCAGGTTATTAGCGACCGAGAGTGTAATTGCTAACAGAAAACCGCTACGTAGAAGTTAAATCATATGGCAAATAAAATAATTATTTACAGATAGCGGATAAAATAATTATTTGTTATCAACTTAAATCAATTAAATCGAATTTGTTCGATACTTGTATTCGTTATCCAAAGGAATAGGGAATAATATATCGAAAGTTCTTGTCGCTCGTTACAAAGATGCAAAATAACAAATGTATTATTATCTGTCTACTTTAAATTCACAAAATATATAGAAATAATTTAAATCAGACTCACCTATTTTTTAAGTACACATCGAATAACAGCTGTTGTCGCGGCTAGGTCAATGAACTTCATGTTTCATTGTAACATTTTAATATTACTTTCCACCAATTACCTAACACAATAACCACAGAAGAAGAACACAAATGAAAACGCTCAAACAATTATTCATAAATAACTCATTTTTTCCTCAATATTGAACACCGAACGAAGTATCCTGAACTGCCGATCGTAACGCGATCAACATCCTTGACGGAACAAAACACGTGCGAGCAACGCAAAATCCCTTAAAAAACGATGTTTTATTAACCGACTTCGAAAAAGGAGGAGGTTACTCAATTCGATCAGTATTTTTTTTTTTTCTTTTTTTCTTTTTTTCTATGTGTGCCCGCCGATTACGCCTAGCTGGATGCACCGATCGGAACGAAACCTTTTGCATCTGGTAGGTTCTGACTCCCCATTGGTACCATTATCAAAAAATTTTTCAATTTTCAATTGCAAAGTATTGTTATTGCAAAAAAACCGGCAACTTTTGAAATAAACTTTTCTCGATTTTAGTGCACTTTTGATATCTTATCACGGATATGATTCTGAACAATTTTGTTCATATACAAATTTCGCGGAAAGCTTTAGTTTTCGAGATATTAGCGAAAAATTGTTATTAACTT